ATCTGATGGTAGTTTGTATTTCTGTGGAATCTGTGGCGATATCCCCTTTATCGTTTTTTATTGCATCTATTTGGTTCTTCTCTCTTTTCTTTTTTATTAATCTGGCTAGTTGCCTATTTTGTTGATCTTTTCAAAAAACCAGCTCCTAGATTTATTGATTTTTTGAAGGGTTTTTTTTTTTGTGTCTCTGTCTCCTTCAGTTCTGCTCTGATCTTAGTTATTTCTTGTCTACTGCTAGCTTTTGAGTTTTTTTGATCTTGCTCCTCCAGCTCTTTCAATTTTGATGATAGGATGTCGATTTTCGATCTTTTCTTGCTTCTCATGTGGGCCTTTATTGCTATAAATTTTCCTCTAGACACTGCTCTAAATATGTCCCAGAGATTCTGGTACGTTGTGTCTTTGTTCTCATTGGTTTTGAAGAACATCTTTATTTCTGCCTTCATTTCATTGTTTATCCAGTCAACATTCAAGCGCCAGTTGTTCAGTTTCCATGAAGTTGTGTGGTTCTGAGTTAGTTTCTTAATCCTGAGTTCTAATTTTATTGCATTGTGGTCTGAGAGACTGTTTGTTATTATTTCTGTTCTTTTGCATTTGCTGAGGAGTGATTTACTTCCAATTATACGGTCAATTTTAGAGTAGGTGTGATGTGATGCTGAGAATAATGTATATTCTGTGGATTTGGGGTGGAGACTTCTGTAAATGTCTATTAGGTTTGGTTGGTCCAGATCTGAGTTCAAGTCCTGGATATCCTTGTTAATTTCTGCATCGTTGATCTGTCTAATACTCACAGTGGAGTGTTAAAGTCTCCCACTATTATTGTGTGGGAGTCTAAGTCTCTTTGTAGGTCCTTAAGAGCTTGCTTTACGTATCTGGGTGCTCCTGTAATGGGTGTGTATATATTTAGGATCATAGCTCTTCTTGTTGCATTGATCCTTTTACCATTATGTAATGCCTTTCTTTGTCTCTTTTGATCTTTGTTGGTTTAAAGTCTATTTTATCAGAGACTAGGATTGCAACTCCTGCTTTTTTTTGCTCTCCATTTGCTTGGTAAATCTTCCTCCATCCCTTTACTTTGAGGCTATGTGTAGCCTTGCATGTGAGATGGGTTTCCTGGATACAGCACACTGATGGATTTTGACTTTTTATCCAATTTGCCAGTCTGTGTCTTTTGATTGGGGCATTTAGCCCATTTACATTTAGGGTTAATATTGTTATGTGTGAATTTGATCCTGCCATTTTGATGCTAGCTGGTTGTTTTGCCCATTAGTTGATGTAGTTTCTTCATTGTGTCAATAGTCTTTACCATTTGGTATGTTTTGGAGTGGCTGGTACTGATTGTTCCTTTCTATGTCTAGTTCTTCTTTCAGGAGCTCTTGTAAGGCAGGCCTGGTAGTGATGAAATCTCTGAGCAATTGCTTGTTTGTAAAGGATTTTATTTCTCCTTTGCTTATGAAGCTTAGTTTGGCTGGATATGAAATTCTAGGTTCAAAGTTCTTTTCTTTAAGGATGTTGAATATTGGCCCCCACTCTCTTCTGACTTGTAGAGTTTCTGCAGAGAGATCCCCTGTTAGTCTGATGGGCATCCCTTTGTGGGTAACCCGATCTTTCTTTCTGGCTGTGCTTAGCATTTTTTTCTTCATTTCAACCTTGGTGAATCTGACGATTATGTGCCTTGTGGTTGCTCTTCTTGAGGAATATCTTTGTGGTGTTCTCTGTATTTCCTGGATTTGAATGTTGGCCTGCCTTGCTAGGTTGGAGAAGTTCTCCTGGATAATATCCTGAAGAGTGTTTTCCAGCTTAGATTCATTCTCTCCATCATATTCAGGTACACCTATCAAAAGTGGATTAGGTTTTTTCCATATTTCTTGGAGGCTTTGTTCTTTTCTTTTTACTCTTTTTTCTCTAATCTTACCTTCTCATTTTATTTCGTTGAGTTGATCTTCAATCTCTGATATCCTTTATTCTGCTTGGTCGATTTGGCTATTGAAACTTGTGTATGCTTTGCCAAGTTCTCGTGCTGTGTTTTTCAGCTCAATCAATTCATTTATATTCTTCTCTAAGCTGTTTATTCTCGTTAGCATTTCATCAAACCTTTTTTCAAGGTTCTTCATTTCTTTGCATTGGGTTAGAACATGTTCTTTTAGCTCAGAGAAGTTATTACCCACTTTCTGAAGCCTGTTTCTCTCAATTCATCAGACTCATTCTCCATCCAGCCTTGTTCCCTTCCTGGTGAGGAGTTGTGATCCCTTGGAGGAGGAGAGGCATTCTGGTTTTGGGTGTTTTCATTCTTTTGGCACTGATTTCTTCCCATCATTTGGATTTATCTACCTGTGGTCTTTGTAGTTGGTGACTTTCAGATGGCGTCTCTGTGTGGATGTCCTTTTTGTTGATGATGAAGTTATTTCTTTCTGTTTTTTAGTTTTCCTTCTACAAGTCAGGCCCCTCTGCTGTAGGCCTCCTGGAGGTCCACTCCAGACCCTGCTTGTCTGGGGATCACCTGTGGTTGCTGCAGAACAGTAAGGGTTGCTGCCAGTTTCTTTTTCTCTAATCTTTGTCTCAGAAGGATACTTGCCAGATGTCAGCCTGAGCTCTCCTTTAGGAGGTGTCTCTTTGGATATATGCTGGTTGGGGAGCTGCTTGAGGAGATAGTCTGTCCCTTATAGGTTCTCAAGTACTGAGCTATGAGCTCCATTGTCCATTCAGAGCTGCTGGGCGGGTACGTTTAAGTATGCTACAGTGGAACTCATAACCACCTTTTTTTCCTTGATGCTCTGTCTTGCGAAGGTGGGGCTTTATTTATAAGTTCCTGATGTACTGCTGCCTTTTTTCAGAGATGCCCTGCCCAGAGAGGAGGTAGCCTAGTCACAGTCTGCCAGCGGAGGCATTGCTGAGCTGCCATGGGCTCTGCCCAGCTACTGTGTGAACTTCCTTGTGGTTTTGTTTATAGAGGTGTAGTTAGAACTGCCTCGGTAATGACAGTCTGCCTTGGTAATGGTGGACTGCCTTGGTAATGGCAGACACCCTTCCCCCCACAGAGCTGGACTGTCTGGGTCCAGCTGTGCTTGCTGTGAAACTCTCAATCCAGAGCATTTCAGATTGCTGGTCTTTGTGGGGGTGGGATCCTCCAAGCCAGATCACCTGGCTGCCCGTTTCAGCCCCCTTTTTTTCAGTTGAATGGGTGACTCTTGTCTACCAGGCATTCCAGGTGCCAGTTGAAATATCTGTGCTGGAAACTCACAGCACTTCTCTGCCCAGGAATCTCCTGGTCTGTGGGAAGTAAAAATTTGTTTGGAAATGCAGTGATCACTCACTTTCTGTGTTCTCACTGGCAACTGCACTCCAGAGCTGTTCCTATTCAGCCATCTTTGCCTAATCAAAAATTCTAAATTCTTAACTGTTTTAAGTAGAAGCCAAACAAGCAAAAATCAAAAGACTACAAAAATGGCGTCTCTGGCATTCTTTTTGTATACTTTAAAAAAATATTTTGCAATACTTTATGTAAGCCAATAGGAAACCTGGAGGATGATGCAATAGTCATTTTTTTCAATGTTGCATTACCCTTTAGGCAATGTCATCATTCTCTTTTCTTATTTTTTAAGTCATTTTTAGCATAGTTGAGAATAACAGTAAGTAGTAATGAAATAATTCTAATGATGAAAGATGAATCAAGAATTGGAAAAAGAAGACAACTAAGATTTCAGAATATGTCTTAGATTTATAAAAGGGTCTACTATGCTTACATGGCAATTACAAGATAGAATGGGCCGGGCACAATGGCTCATGCCTGTAATCTCAGCACTTTGGGAGGCCGAGGCAGGTGGATCACCTGAGGTCAGGAATTCGAGACCAGCCTGGCTAACATGGTGAAACCCTGTCTCTTCTAAAAATACAAAAATTAGCTGGGCATGGTGGTACCTGCCTATAATCCCAGCTACCTAGGAGCCTGAGGCAGGATAATTGCTTGAATCCAGGAGGCAGAGGTTGTGGTGAGCTGAGATCACACCACTGCACTTCAGCCTGGTTGACAGAACGAGAGTCTGTCTCAAAAAAAAAAAAAAGATAGCATGACTTTTACTTCATTAAAAAATTAATGTAAATTTTAGTTTTGGTTTTTGAAGTATCTGTAGTAAAGAATAAAAGTTGTGAATATCAATCCTTATGAATAGACTTGAAAACTAAAATTGAATCTAGTAGAACCTTATGGTATGGCATGCCTTAGCTGAGGAATTTCTGGGAGAATCCACACATTCTGTTGAGTGGCTAATTTGGTGTTTTATGCATTTAAGAATTTTCCTTTACTTGGACTTTTTATTCTTGTTTTAAATACAGTAGCTTCATCTAGGCACATGTGGGATTTTTTTTTTTTTTTTTTTAAGAGAGGGCCTTGTTCTGTTGCCCACGCTGGAGTGCAGTGATGCAATCAATGCTCACTGCAACCTTGAACTGGGCTCAAGCAGTCTTTTCACATCAGCCTCCCAAGTAGCTGGGACCACAGGCTTATGCCACCACACCTGACCACATGAGGGAAAACTTCTGTAGAAATAGGATGTTTAAGCTCAGATATAAAGGCAGACCAGAACTTAGTCAAGGGGAATATTCTCATAAAATCCAACTTGTATTTGAAAGAAAAAAAAAGTCAAATAAAACCTTAGCCATAGCTATGATCTTATCATCAAGTTTTGGTCACATTGTTTGCGATGATTGGTATAGTAACCTTCTCATGAAAAAATAGCAAGTTTTTTTCTTTAAAAATTAATCAAAACATTTACTAATGTCAAGTATAGTATGATTTGGAATATTTGGAGCTGTAAACTTGACCTGACTGACAGATCTTTAACAAAGTCTTTGTATCGAAATGGATATAGTTGTAGCATTTGGTATCTATAAGACATTGTACACACAGTGTATAAAATATTTGATTGGATGAACTCTGCCTTTCCAATAATGGAATTTATTAAACATTATCCATGATGTGATAACTTAATTACTTTGTTTCCCAGAAAAGAACTCAACTTGCTGCAGAAGCTGTATGGATTGTATGACACCGTAATGGGCAGTATTAGTGGTTATTATGAAATACTTTGGGGAGATGTAGATATTGAAAAAATTAATGCAGAACTGCAGGAATTTCAAAACAGGTGAGTGTCAGCGGAATTTTTTATAATGTCTGTCTTCTTAGGATCCTATAGGATAAAGTAGATTATTAGCTTATTCCAGAAGCTAATTTATTATAATAAATTACCTTATTTCAGAAGCTAATTTATTATAATAAATTACCTTATTTCAGAAGCTAATTTATTATAATAAATTAGCTTATTTCAGAAGCTAATTTTTTCCCTAATATACCACTGTATATACATAAAACCTTCTTCAAAGAAATGCAAAGGTGGCATTTTTTTCTCTTTTTTTCTGAAAGATGTCGTAAACTTCCAAAAGGACTTAAAGATTGGCAAGCTTTTTTGGATCTGAAAAAAAGAATTGATGATTTCAGTGAGTCATGTCCTCTACTGGAAATGATGACCAATAAGGCCATGAAACAGAGACACTGGGATAGAATCTCCGAGTTAACTGGCACCCCATTTGATGTGGAATCTGATTCTTTTTGCCTTAGAAATATCATGGAAGCACCACTCCTTAAAAACAAGGATGATATTGAGGTACACAAGTATATATATTCTTATCAGTGATCCATTAAAGAAAGCCTCCTTTTCCTTTTCTGAGATTTGTACAGATATTTTATGAGAGGTTGGATTAATTGCCCTCTATAGTACTCCCTCAAAATTTGGGATGATCCTTAACATTCTTGGCTTTTATGAAATAATCTTGTGACTCAATGAGATTATATGATTATTTGAAATACATTATTTGAAATACATTTGCTTTAGAGCCCTTCAATACATCTTCCTTGTCCCCAAANTTGCTGAGGGTTACAAAGAGAAACTGGTCAAATTATTTTAATTAAAATGTCTCTTTACTCAATTATTATTGATAGATTATTACTAAGAAAAAAGTATTAAGTTTTTAGAATTTTCTATTATTACATGTTTACTTTCTAAGATTTTTCATTGGTCCTTTTTCTGTGGCCACCTTTAAAAAAATTTTTTTTACATTAACATTTTTTCTGTCCTTTTTATAGATTATTAGGTCTACAGATATGTAGATTATTAAATCTACATATATTCCCAGATCTGTAAGTTTCAAATGTATAGATTTATAGATGTCTTTGCTTATCTCTTTGAGCACTTTAAACATGATTATTTAAAAATTTTTCACTATGGAAAATTTTAAACATATACAAAAGTAAAGATCTCCTTGCTCTAACATTTATCAACTCATGGCCAATATTATTTTACCTGTACCTCTTGTACTTCAACAACTCTAAATTAAACATAAAGATTTTTTCAGATTCTTCTTTAAGATTAATTTGATCTGGACTGAATTTTTGCTGTTAATGTTTTTTATGTCGGCTATCCTCTGAGCCTTAGATTTTTTTCATGGGTTTTGTAATTTTCATTGAGATGGGGGGGCTCGTTTTGAATGGAAGGCTTTCACAAAATCTGGCTTATATAATGTGTTATATCTTAGTTCGTGTCTTACTTTTCCTTGTAAGTGGCCTTGTGTAGTGGTCTTGTGTAGTGGCCTTGTGGTTGCCTCCTTCACTGCCCGTGTTTCCTCAGCCCCAAGTCCAGAGCCAGGTGTTGTAACAAGAGTCTCCATCCCCTACTGTGCTATGGTGTGAGGATCCAGGCATGTGCTGACCTGTTTCAGGTCCTGGTTGCGGGGCTGGTTTTGTGTCACCCCATCCCCCAGGTCCATAATTCCAGTTAACCTAGTGGCCTAGATGGCAGCTGGAGGCAGTGTTTGCAGCCTCCTTCTGTGAAGGAGATCCCAGCCAGGTGCTCCTTCTCCAATAGATGACTTTTCTCTTCTTCACCCCATGGGAACCAAAGGCCTGGCCCCAGTGGCCCAGGCTCTCAGGCCTGTGTTTTACCTCCACCAACTGGTTTGCATAGCCTTTCCACTTTTGGTTCATGGACATGTTTATCTTATTCTTAAGCCTGGCTCTGCTTTTTTACTGACTTAAAAAAATTATTTTATCCATTATTCCATGTTTTTGGAGTTGAGAAAATGTACCATGTGACCATAAATCTCCCAAATATATAGTTTGGGTTTTCTGCCTTCCTCTAACCTCTTTTTAATAATATGTGTACACAGAAAGGTTTTCTTTCAAAGCATTTCTGTCCTGTTTAAGCAAATGAGATATTCATATTAGGACCAGACAGGCAGGAATATAGTAATATTTATATGTTACTTGAAAGAGTTTAAAAGACTCTCATGTATATTCTCATTTGATTCTCATAGCTAGCTAACATCTGGAATAGACAGGGCAGCTGTCATTATCCCCATTTTAGCCAAAACCTCCAATTGAAAACATAATAAAAAATGATGATTTAAATTACATTGTTTCATGTATGTGGTACAGAAAAATAATTAGTAGTCACCAAATCACAGGGCTCTAGTGTCAAGATGCAACACAATGATTTGAAACCTTATTTCTTGGCTGTAAAGTGACTAATGAACTGGGTGACTTTCAGGTCCCTTTCAAGCTAAAAAAAAATGCTATGATTTTTATGATGTGCTTAACTTGTAGCTGAAAACATCATGACATATCCTTTGCTTTTCCTCCAAAGGACATTTGCATATCTGCCATTAAGGAGAAGGATATCGAAGCCAAGCTGACTCAGGTGATTGAGAACTGGACCAACCAAAATCTGAGTTTTGCAGCATTTAAGGGAAAAGGAGAGCTCCTGCTCAAAGGAACCGAATCGGGAGAAATTATCACTTTGATGGAGGATAGTTTAATGGTCTTAGGGTCCTTACTCAGCAACAGGTAATTTTATAATTTGGGGGAGAGATTTAAATTGGATATTTAGGGTTATAAAATTCTAAGTAAAGGCTCAGTTTTAAAGCTATGGCATTGGATAGGATTCTGCCCTAGACTGCTAGATCTTGTCTGTCCCTATATGAACTGTTTGTTTTCCCTAATACACATGGCCTCCATCTCTTCTTTGATGCTGCTCATCTACCCTTCCCTATTTTTTCTGATGGGCCCCATCCTAATTATTCCTCCCCAAACTGGCAGCTTGTCCTTTGAAAGTCTTGGCTCCCCACTAAGATGACCTCTTCATTTTATCTTTTCTCTTCTTTGTTCCTCTGATTTGACATCATTGACCTCTTGGTTTACCCTGTTCAAGCAGTCACCCAATAGCCCGGGAAAAGCCTGGCCACAGGTGAAAGCAGTCTACCATTAGGGGCTTGGGACTTACTTAGAGACTTTCATTTTTTATGGTGAAAAGAGGCTGAGACGATTATGGCCTGATGAGGTCACCTGTTCATCGTTGAACTATGGACCAGCTTGAAGTTGCCTATGATCTTAAGTGTAGCTTTAGGAAATTTCTGTAGGACTCAGTCAAATTAAATATTCTGTCAGGTCTTTGATCTGGGCATTGGCAACCTCCATTCCTCTCGCTGACTTTGCAGTAGTTCTCAACTATTCTTCACCTGAACACACCTAAGAAATATTTAATATCTCTTCTCCAGGTTGGGATCACTGGTTAGTGAGTGGCATCCTGCATGACCTCTACCCCCAGGGGCAGTCTTGTATTTGCATAATGACAAAGCTGCCAGTTCAGGGAGTTCTGGGTTGAATTCATAAAGGTTAAGGTCCTCAGATGCATCCTCTGCATTCAGGGAATCCTGGCAAAGGTGACCATAGGATATTAGGTGGTTCCTAGACTTCATAGGCTACTGTTTCCCCATGGTTCATTGCAAATTTTGCCATCTGACTGCCTGCCAGAGGAGGGCTGTAGATTCACCTGGCCAGTGTCTGCAGCCAAGGAATTCAGGATTTGAAGCCTTTCTTAAATTCATACTTACTTGGACATAACCTGATTAGTATAATACTTATTTGTGTATTAGTAGACCTCAATGTTTGCAAACTTCTAGGCCCTGCCAGAAGAGTATAAGGATAGCTAAGAAGTCATCACATTCTGGGAGAGTCTCCTCCTAGAGAACTTTGCAGTGCCTAGTCGGTCTGGAAAGCATGTTTCAGAACTAACCACAGACTGCCCTAGTAGTGAGTAGTGCCTACTGGATCTCTAAGACTACTTTGATGTGACTTCAGAAGGAAGTTATATGTCTCCTTGGTGAGACTTGATTATAGATATTGCCTGGATTGTGACACTTCCCTGGTAGATCCCTGATTCCTTGGGACTTCATGGGTCCTGGTGGGTTTGACCACACAAAGTTGTACAATGCAGGTATCTGGCCAAAGGACAGAAACTAGCTATGCTAGATTTTATTTCAGATCTCTTGTTTCCATCTTTAGAAATTATACACGATCAAGGATGACTCTTTTTATTCTCTGTGCAGAAACATTTTTGGTCTGTCTAGTTGCTTCATCTCCCTAAACTGCCTGCCTATGCCATGTTAGTTTACATGTCTTTATTTGGAAGATGTTTTTGGCATATTGACTGCCTTTCAGCTCTAGACCAGTGGCCAGGTAAACAGTATAAATTGAGTGTTGGGAAAAATGCCTCTTACTGCCTGAACAACTGGATTACCTACCTCCTTGAAGCAATTTGTGTACATCTCCATTTGTAACTTCATGTATAACATAGGCTTTCAGGGAAGTTATGGGTTGTATTCAGGCACCAGACTGTACCCAGAAAAACCTCATTCTGCGTATGAATATCTTCAAATCACTCTGTCCTAGATCAAGACAAGTTTGAAGATCCTAGTCAACAAGTGCCTCTCACCAGCAAATGTCACTGCAACCACATTGAAACTACTTGACCTTAGCACACACAACAGTCAGCTTCTTGCTCTAACTGTAGGTAGTTGGGGTTTTTACCCAGTAACCTCCCATTGCTACCTCCAAGACATCCATTCTATTTCTTGTCTTCCTCTGTGTGCTCAGCTTTCTGGACTCCTTGTATTCTCATAAACACTTCAGCAAGCCCTAATAATCAGAAAACAGGAGCCATGCTATTGTGGGGAAGCAATCCTGGGTCTCTAGCATTGCAGAATCTGGTTGCAATACCTGGTGTAATTTGCTGTCTGTGGGTGGGAAGAGCACACCTGTAAGTGAACATCAGACCTCAAGCTTGACCCTGGATTTGTGGTCATCTTTCTCCAGGTGAACCTGGTGATACCTAATCCTCTCCTGGTCTTTAGGGATCTGATTTGTCCTGTCCTTTTAGAGATAGTCTGTCACTTGCTGGATGAAACCTTTAAGACCATTCATAAAAGGAAAATCCCTGGATAGGGCTCTCTTTCCCTAGATTCAATAGTTCCATGGACCAATAACAGTGTCTTATGTGTTACTCTTACAGGCAGTCCCCACTTGGATTTGGTTCACAGAAGTTTTGGAAAACCCATCTTATTCCTTGTTTGCCATTTACTCCCAGAAGCAACTAGCACAGTTCCTTTGCTGGACCTAAGTACCATAAAACTAGGCCCATTCTCCTATTCTATGACTGACACATGGGAACAATAAGTAAAATCACATAGGGATATGAGTTTTATTCATCAAAAGCAACCGTTTTTGTTAGCTGTATGAGAGCTAGTAGGAACTGCCCTTTTAGGACAAAACATTCATTCCCAAAGTAGTATTTCTTTTGTAATTTACTTCGGTAAGGCGGTACTATTTTCTGAATCTTTGAAACGTGATCTTTTCTGTTCTTACCTTTTAGATACAATGCTCCATTTAAAAAAACTATCCAGAATTGGGTGTATAAATTGTCCACTTCCTCAGATATAATTGAAGAGTGGCTTGTAGTACAGAACCTTTGGGTTTATCTTGAAGCCGTCTTTGTAGGTGGAGATATTGCCAAACAGCTGCCTCAGGTAAATACAGCTTTTGTAATTACTGATAAAATAATTTGGTGTATGTTGTCTTTATGTCTCCGTAAACGTCTTCACAAAGACATATGGTCAGGGCTTGGCTATGCCAGGGTTTGGCAAACTATGGCCCACTTGCCTGTTTTTGTAAATAAAGTTTTATTGGAACACAGTCACATCCATTCCTTTATATATTGTCTGTGGCTGCTTTAGCACCACAACAGCAGAGCCGAGTAGTTATAACTGAGATTATATGGCCCAAAAAGTCTGAAATCTTTATTATCTGGCCCTATACGGATGTTTTTTTTAAAGTGCTGACCTCTGATTAGCAGAAAGAAGAAACTCACATAGTTTTAAACAGTGAATAATCACGAGGTTGCTTGAGGATGTGAGGTACATTCAAATACAGTACTATAAAATTATAGTAGCTCACCTTTTCTAAGAGTTAACCTCATGATAGTCCTCTGAGTGTAGTATTAAAATTAACCTATATTCTGTAAGCACAGATTAACTTTAATGATTAGTAAGTCTACTACTAGCAGATCAGAAGAATAGTGTGGAGCAAGAAAACAGCCTTGGGAGGCTGTAAAAAAAAACCTTTAAAACAGCTCTATTGGGGTCCTTTAAATAAATTCCAATAACTATAATAACTGATAGTTTTGGTCTATGAAGGTAACTTTCCTCTTAGAAAATCAAGCCTGCTCTTCCTAAACTTCTGTATTTACAAACAGGACCTATATAGGTTAAAAATCAAGGATAAAAGAGTTTTTTTTTGAAAGTGGCCGAATTCCTTTGTACTATAGCACGTTTTTAAAGCATTAAACCGAAATATATCATTTTTGTTTTTTAATCAGAAGGCTGTATTTTTAAAAGAGGCAAGATTATGCCAATTTCTAGAGGCATTTTTGCAATTGAGTGCAAAGCTTAATATCATTCACAGTAAATAGAAAATTTTCACTTGCAAAAATGTAAATGAAACTTTGTTTTGTGGTTTTACTGTGTTTTTTTTCTTTTTTCCCCCCTGCCCTGGGGTACTATTGAGCTGTAATTATTCCAAGAATCCTGAGATCAAATTATTTTCATGCTTCTTCAGCTTGCTCATCAAACCAAAACACCTGGGGTGCTGAAACACTAGATTGGAACTTTAAGTTGATAGCTCTGCAAATTAATCATATGGTACTTTGAAAAACATATTAAATACAATGAAACAAATAAGCAATAAGCCCCATTGTGATAAAGTAGCATTTTAATATGCAGTTTTATAACTTTGGGTTTGTGTCATTCAGAATTAATTCAAATGAAAAAAAATTGTCTGTTTAAATTATGCCTGAGACTAATAGAGGCTGGTTTGAAGAACTATAGAAAATTCCAGGGTGAAGGCCTTGCTTTTTTTCAGTTATCCAAATGCTAATTTTTACTGGCTATGGATTTGTTTTCAGGAAGCAAAACGTTTTCAGAATATTGACAAGTCATGGATAAAAATAATGCAGCGAGCTCATGAGAATCCCAATGTGATTAATTGCTGTGTTGGAGATGAGACCATGGGACAACTTTTACCTCATTTGCATGAGCAGTTGGAAGTGTGCCAGAAGTCACTGACAGGGTAAGAGTTTAATTTTTAAAACATGTATCATTTTGTATGCCACTGTGTTTTATCCCAAACTTACTAGAATTGACTACATTTCTGGTTTGATATGATGGTTAAAGTATGGATAGAAACTTAAATTTTACATAGATTTAACTTTTCTGCAAGGAAGACACCTTTGTCTTAGGGATGGGTGGGTGAAGGCATTGTATTAGTTCCCTAGGGCTGCTGTAACAAATTTCCACAGACTGGTTGGCTTAAAGCAACAGAAATTCATTCTCTCACATTTGTGGTGACAAGAAGTCTGAAATCAAGGTGTTGGCTCCCTCTGAAGACTCTAAGAGAGGATCTTCCCTTGCCTCTTTTGGTTTCTTGTGGCTCTAAGAGTTTCTTGGCTTGTGGCTACATAACCCCAATCTCTCGCTGTCTTCACCTGGCCTTCTCCTCTTCTTCCTGTGTGTCTCTTATGCCATTTGTCATTGGATTCAGGGCTCTTCAAGATCCTTAATCTCAAGATCCTTCATCCCCTTTGCAAAAGTCCTTTTTCCAAATAAGGTCACACTCACAGATTTCAGGGAATAGGAAAGACATGGACATGTGCACTAAGAGAACAATTCACCAGACAGATTCAGTTTTATTTTCATTTTCATTTATTTATTTTATTTTTACCATCATAAGAGGATAGCTGTCAGGATAATTTTTTAAGGGGAGTTCATTTCAATTTCTATTTGAAATAGGGTGATAATACATCCTGGTTTGTCCAAGTTTATGCCTCTGTCCTGGCTTAATGGTTAGTTGTCCCCGCTTTCACTCTCAAAATGTGTTGGTTTGGAGATAAGGTTTGTGCTCCCCCTTGGTTTAAGCCATGAGATTTCCAGCAGCCTTAGAAAAGTCATAGGAGGGCATCTGTTGATAAAGGAAAGGACAGCAGATGATGGAGCAGACTTGCTCTGATTCTCTTGTTTTCCCAAGTGCCATCCATGGTGGAACATGGACTTTGGTTTCCACCAAACATGCAGGGTAAGTGATAAATGACTTTAGGTGTTTGTTATTATCTTAGCAAAGATGTTAGTGATTATGTCTCGGCTAGAAAAATAATAATTTAGAGGGAAAAGCCACTTGGTAACATACTATCACCTTTATTTGTAGGTATTTGGAGAAGAAACGATTACTGTTTCCAAGGTTCTTCTTTGTATCTGATCCAGTTCTCTTGGAAATTCTTGGACAAGCCAGTGATTCCCACACCATACAGGTATAATCCAAGAATCTATGATCAAAATTGCTTTTTCCACAGCATACACAATCAAGAATAAAACTGAAGTTAAAATATTAAAAATGCAGGCAGGAAAGAAGAGTACTACAAATTACATTGATCATAAAATTTATTTTCTGTGTATTTGGAGCCTGTTATCCTGAAGCAGTCCAGCCGTGTTAAGCAAGTCACTGACTATGCCACTCCTAGCTGTGTGACCTTGGCAAGCTTCCTAATTTCCCCATGCCTCAATTTCCACATCTGTAAAATCAGGATATTAATGTTTCTCACCTCACAGGACTGTCATGAGGATTATATGAGAGCATGCATAGCAAAGTCTCTAGCACACAGTATGTGTTTATTAAATCGAATTTATCATTATGAGTACTTTATTCTAAATATTCTTAGACCAAATAGGGGTTGTATTTTGGATTTGTCCTTTTTTCCTTCCAGAATACTTCTCAAATGCTTTTAGCCATTTCTCAGAGCAATATTTTGGAAGAGGAAAAAAAAAACCATAGTGAACTGAGAGTGGGAGGCATGGAAGGGCCCATCCTGGGGCCACTTCTTGTTTGGGGATCTGGGAAACGGCTAATGTTATTTCCTTGCTGGTTTCCAGGGACTTATAATGATGAGAAGAGAGAATGGAATGGCTCTGTGAAAGGTGGAGAGAGGAAAGGACTGAGCTATATCTTGTGGGGAAGGAGGGGTGAGGCAGTATGGTCCAGTCTCCATCTGGAGGAAGGTGGCAGTCCTTAGTCTAATCTGCATAGCATGAGAAGGAGCCATATGCGGACTTGGATAAAAGATTCTGTAGGGCTTGATTTTACAAAGTAGGCCTCCAAGCCAGTCAAGGGTCAAAGCAAGTCTCTCGATTTTTTGAGACAATGAAGTCAATTCTTAACCTTTTAAAAAGATACAAAATATTCAGGTTTTGTGTTCAGCCTCATGTGTGATGTTTTCCTCTGTCTTACAGCCGCATCTCCCTGCAATATCTGACAACATCAATGAGGTGACATTTCATTCAAAAGACTACGATCGCATCATGGCCGTCATTTCAAGAGAAGGAGAAAAAATTGTTGTAATTTACCTTGCTTTAAATTTTGTTACTAGAATTTCTTTAAAAACTTAGGTTGAGGAGAATGCAATTCTCTTATGGAAAAAAACAGGAGGAGAGCTAGTTCTCGTTCTCTAGCCCTGGGCTTTGTTAAAAACTAGTTTAGATAAATCCTTTAACAACTTCTCTTGAGACTCATTTTGTAATTTATAAAGTGAAAGTTTTAGACTAGGTGATCCCTATAGTTCCTTCCAGCTATAGTATTAGATGATTTTACCCATATTTAAAATATTTTGTATAAAATATGAAACTGTTTGCTTGTCGTAGGGCACTGTGATTTATTAAGTATGCATGGGACATCTGTAAAAATGCCAAATTATTATCAATTTATAATATATTTGTAATTTTGTTTTAGTTGGATAATTCTGTTATAGCCAAAGGTCCTGTGGAGATTTGGCTTCTGGAATTGTTAAAAATGCAGATGTCATCATTACATAATATAATTAGATCCGCTTTCTATCAAATCAGTGATACAGGATTTCAGCTCTTACCATTCCTCAGCCACTTTCCAGCACAGGTGAGAATACACAATGCTTAAGTCATGGTGAAAAGAAATGGAAGTAAAGGGGAAGGTTGCTTAGGAGGTAGTTGGGCTGATGGTGTGAGGCAATTATAGCTTTGAACTAGTTAGAGTGGCCTACCCATGCTCATTTAAACCTCAGCTCCCAGCCACCTGCTTGTCAACCAACAAGCAACCCATCCCATCCGCCAGAAGAGGATATGTCACTATTTTCTCATCATTAAGGATATGTACATTGAGTCTAATAGATACATAATGTGTATGTGTATATATATATATATATATATATATTCATTATTTTTAAGGTTTTTAAAAAATGATTGACATTTACTTACTATCAAGTTAATTTAACATTTTTATCTGAAATTATTTAAAATTCTACTTCTGCTTTCTTTTAAAATATGTTTCAAAGATTTGAATGCAATGGATCCTTGCTGCAAAAATTTGGAAAAATGCAAAAATTATAAAAGTGGAATACTTGGGTGATGGGTTGATAGGTGCAGCAAACCACTATGGCACACGTTTACCTATGTAATAAACCTGCACGTTCTGCACATGTATCCCAAAACTTAAATAAAATAAAAATAAAAGTGGAAATAAGAATTTCCCATATTACTACCACCTAAAAATTATGACTATATTAATATTTTAGTGTATTCCCTTCTAATATTTATGTGTTTATTGCTGTTTTTCCCTTTCTTTTTTTAAATTGACATATAACTATTGTACATATTTATGGGATACATAGTGATGTTTTGATAAACATGTCTTGTGATCAGGTGAGGGTAATTAGCATATTCATCTTCTCAAACACTTACCATTTCTTTGTGTTGGGAACAATTAATATCCTCCTCCTAGCTATTTGAAACTATGTGTTATTCTTAACTATAGTTATCCTACAGTGGTATAGAACTGGGCCTATTAGGAACTAGGCTGCACAGCAGGAGGTGAGTGGCGGGCAAGTGAGTATTACTGCCTCAGCTCTATCTCCTGGCAGATCAGCGGTGGCTTTAGATTCTCTTAGGAGGGCGAACCCTGTTGTGAACTGTGCATGTGAGGGATCTAGGTCGTATGCCCCTTATGAGAATCTAAACCATCCCCCGATCTCTGTCCATGGAAAAAATGTCTTCCACAAAACCGGTCCCAAGTGCCAAAAAGGCTGGGGATTACTGGTACAGATCACTAAAACTTAGTCCTCCTACCTAGCTGTGATTTTGTGTCCTTTAGCAAATCTGTCCCTGTCCTCCTCTTTTCCTTACCTTTCCCAGCCTCTAGTATCCTCCATTCTACTTTCACTTCTCTGAGGTCAGCTTTATTTTAGCTTCCATGTATGTGTGAGAACATGTGGTGCCTTCTCATATTGTTTAATGTATTTATTATAGGCGTCGAATAATGTTGATGAGAATGGGCATTCTTATTTTCTGTTTTTTTTTTTTTTTTTTTTTTTTTTTTTTTTTTTTTTTTTTTTTTTTTTTTTTTTTTTTTTTTTTTTTTTTTTTTTTTTTAAATGAGACGTCCTCTGTTTTTCACTGTTAAGTTGCATGCCTTTTTAGAATGAGTATATAACATAATTTTAAGTTGTTCTTGGTGACTCAGGATAATGATTGTAAAGACTTGCCTTTGGATAGACACCATTATGCAGCAGGTGTTGGGGTCTGCTGGTCTGTTTGTCTTTAAGTCAGGCCGTCTTATGCTGCTATGCTTTTGTAGTTTTTCTCTTTGTCTTTCCTCACTTGGACCATCATCTGCTGCTCTCAGGGCCAGAATCTGCTTCCTCTTGGGGACTTCCTGACACTGGCTATTTTCTCCAGATCCCATTGCTCACTTTCACCAGGTGCTTTCATTTATCTGTGGCTTCAGCCCCCAGGATTGGCCACTGCTCTAGCAGGAAAAGTATCGAAGTCCCTGATAAGGCAGAGACAGAAAGAGGGCTTTAGTCTTCCTTTCCTCGTTGTTGAGCCCATGGCAAGCAGTATCTATATACCGCCCGCCTTGTTTGGTCCAAATGATGTTGGATCTGCTATTCGACTCTGGATGAATAGTGAAGGGATGAGGGTGGGGCATGCTCAGAATACTTTTATTACCTTTTCTGGGGCAGAAATTGGAGCTTAAGGTGGCATCCTCCCACAATGTCTTTATGCCTTCATCAGGATACAAAGAACACAAGCTTCTCCCCTTCTCACTTTCTGTCTCCCTCTCTCTTCTATAGATAAATATAGAAACAAAAAGTAGACATTGGTAAAGATGTGGATATCAGAGAGAGGGAGCAATCAAGAAAGGAGCTAGGCTGCATATTGTTTTTAGAAGAACAAAGAGACTTTCAGAAAGCCGTACTCAAGAACAAGTAAATAAATTCATTTGCTTTTCTTGAGAAAGAAAAATCATTGCATGGAAGTATATAATAGTCTCAGGCCCTCTGTAGAAAAATTTCCTAAGCATCTTCAGTAACATACATATAATTCAACAAATGGTAGCCAGTATTTTAATGATCATTAATCTATTTACTTTGAAATAATTAAATATTAATAGTTAAAACTTTAACTGTTTCCCTCCTTTGGGAGTGAAGAAATGCAAGTCTATCTCATTTTTAGTTTAAAATGTGAACAAGTGACCACCAGATTTTATTACAGATGTGCTTTAAATATTTGGCAAATTTCAATATTTGTCTGCTGGATCTGTAGGTTGGACTTCTGGGAATTCAGATGTTGTGGACACACGATTCAGAAGAGGCTTTACATAATGCAAAAGATGACAGGAAAATCATGCAAATGACCAATCAGAAATTCCTGGATATTCTAAATACTCTCATTAGTCAGACAACACATGATCTCAGCAAGTTTGATAGAGTGAAATTCGAAACTCTAATTACCATCCATGTGCATCAGAGAGATATTTTTGATGACTTGGTAAGATATCTTTTTCTTAATTAGGTGTACTAATAATGAACAGTTAAGAATTGTATATGTTGCCTAACTTACGTGAAATTTCCATTTACTTGGTCCTTTTACGTAACTGTGTCCATCAATATCACGTCCACAATATTGTATACCTGTATTGGGTGGTTTAAACAACCAAATATATTCATTTGACACTCTGAAAGTCTGGAACCAACTGATGTGATATGAGTCAACAAGTTGTTATATTAAACCAAATAAACAGGAACATGATATAATTTAGGTCATAAGCTCTGTTGGGTTGATTGGAAAAGGAACACAGATTGAATGGAATCAGGCTTCAGGACACTCTCGTGGCTGTTCATCCAGTTGGTGGTGATCATGGGCTTGATTTGGGCAAAGTTCTTTAGGGCAGGACTAAGAAGGGTAAGTGTTTGAATTCCTTTAGAAATAGGACTCTAGGGATCGATCCAAGATGGCCGTTTAGGAACAGCTCAGGATTGCAGCTCCCAGTAAAAGCGCAGAGGATGAGTGGACGCCACATTTTTATTGCCCACAGACCAGGAAATTCCCAGGCGGAGGAGCTCCACAGGTCACCAGCGTGGCTGATTCGGCCAGTGCGGCTGTGCCGGCCGGCACCGCTGCTTTGCCCTGCGTGGCTGCTTTGCCGGCGCCCCGGAGCAGCGGTTCTCCATACAAAATACACTGGTCTGGGTGCCCCTTTTGGCTGGCGATTGGAACCACGGGAAGTCGCCCATTCGTCTCTTTAAAAAGGGGACTGAGCAGGGAACCAGGACAGTAGATTCCAGGGCAAAAAAAGGGCCGTGAATCTCACTGCTGCTGTTTAAGCCAGCGCAGTGAATTGCCGCAGGGGAAAACACTGAGACCCGGCACCTCTTCAACAGGCGACTGGAGCACCAACTTTAAAAAAAAAAAAAAAAAGGGCTCTGAGGCAAGGAGCCAGCGATCAGGCTTGGCCATTCCCACCCCCACAAAAGAACAGCAATCAGAAACTCTCTGGATTGAGAGTTTCACAGCAAGCGCAGCTGAACCCGGGACGGCCCAGCTCTGTGGGCGAGGGGCGTCCGCCATTACCGAGGCAGCCCACCGCTATGGAGATAGTCAGCCAATGGTGAGGCAGCACGCCATTGCCAAGGCAACCCACCACTGCAGAAAGACTCCGCCCCAACAGAGGCGGGCCACCATTGCTGAGGCAGTTCTAACTACACCCATATAAATAGGACTGCAGGGAAGTTCACTAGGCAGCTGGGCGGAGCCCACAGCAGCTCAGCAAAGCCTCTACAGGCAGACAGTGACTAGGCTGCCTCCTTGCTGGGCAGGGCAGCTCTGAAGGAAATAAAAAGAAGGCAGCAGCATAACAGGAAACTCATAAAGCCCTAAATCCCTGGGACAGAGCACCTGGGAACAAAAAGCAGTTTATGAGTTCTGCTGCAGCAGACCTAAACGTACCTGCCCAGCAGCTCTGAATGAACAATGGAGCTCACAGCTCAGCATTTGAGCTCTTATAAAGAAGAGACCATCTCTTCAAGCAGCTCCCTGACCCTTGTATATCCAAAGAGCCACCTCATAAAGGAGAGATCAGATTGACACTTGGCAGGTACCCTTCTGGGACAAAGATAGCAGAAGAAGAAAACTGGTAACAACCCTTACTGTTCAGCAGCTGCTGCAGGTGAACCCCAGGCAAGCAGAGCCTGGAGTGGACCTCAGCAGACCTACAGCAGAGGGGCCAGACTGTCAGAAGGAAAACCAAGAAACAGAAACAACCTCATCATCAACAAACAGAACATCCACTCAGAGACCCAATCTGAAAGCCAGCAACTACAAAGACGACAGGTGGATAAATCCATAAAGATGGGAAGAAACCAGCACAAAAAGGATGAAAACACCCAACACCAGAACACCTCTCCTCCTAAAAGGGATCACAACTCCTCACCAGCAAGAGAACAAGGTTGGATGGAGAGCGAGTGTGATGAAATGACAGAATCAGACTTCAGAAGGTGGGTAGTAAGAAATTTCTGTGAACTAAAAGAACATGTTCTAACCCAATGCAAAGAAACTAAGAACCTTGAAAAAGATTTGACGAAATGCTAACGAGAATGGACAAAATAGAAAGGAATATAAGTGAATTGATGGAGCTGAAAAATACGATATGAGAACTTCGCGAAGCATGCACAAGTATCAACAGCCGAATTGACCAAGCAGAGAAGAAAGGATATCAGAGGTCGAAGATCAACTCAATGAAATAAAATGAGAAGGCAAGAATGGAGAAAAAAGGGTAAAAAGGAATGAACAAAG